CAACATGGTGAAATCCCGTCTCTACTAAAAAAAAAAATGAGCCGGGTGTGGTGGTGGGTGCCTGTAATCCCAGCTACTCTGGAGCTGAGGTAGGAGAATTGCTTGAACTCAGGAGGCGGAGGTTGCAGAGCCGAGATCGTGCCACTGAACTCCGGCCTGGGCAACAGAGTGAGACCCTGTCTCAAACAAACAAACAAACAAACAAACAAAAGAAAACCTTCAGCAAAACACCAATAGTGATACAGCATACTCATGTAGTGATTATGCTTGAAAACTTTATGGTAGATTGCTTGGGTGCCAATCTCAGCTCCAGAATTTACTGTGTAACCTTGAGCAACTTCTATGTGCCCTAGTTAGCTCATTTGCAAAATGAGGCTAATACTAATATCTACGTCATGTGGCTATCTTTTGGAGTAACTGAAATAATACATTGCATGCACTGAACACAGTTCTTGGCACACAGTGACAGCTGCATGATTGCTAGCCATCATTTTTTTTTTTTTTTTTTTTTGAGACGGAGTTTCGCTCTTGTTATCCAGGCTGGAGTGCAATGGCGCAATCTCGGCTCACCGCAACCTCCGCCTCCTGGGTTCAGGCAATTCTCCTGCCTCAGCCTCCTGAGTAGCTGGGATTACAGGCACGTGCCACCATGCCCAGTTAATTTTTTTTTGTATTTTTAGTAGAGACGGGGTTTCACCATGTTGACCAGGATGGTCTCGATCTCTTGACCTCGTGATCCACCCGCCTCGGCCTCCCAAAGTGCTGGGATTACAGGCTTGAGCCACCGCGCCCGGCCGCTAGCCATCATTTCTATTATCATGAATTAGTTTGAAAGATAAGAGATCTAGGCCAGGTGCGGTGGCTCATGCCTGTAATCCCAGCACTTTGGGAGGTCAAGGTGGGTGGTTCACCTGAGGTCAGGAGTTTGAGATTAGCCTGACCAATATGGAGAAACCCTGGCTCTACTAAAAATACAAAATTAGCTGGGTGTGGTGGAGCACGCCTGTAATCCCAGCTGCTCAGAGGCTGAGGCAGGAGAATTGCTTGAACCCAGGAGGCAGAGGTTGCCATGAGCCAAGATTTCGCCATTGCACTCCAGCCTGGGCAACAAGGGTGAATGAAACTCCATCTCTGAAAAAAAAAAAGAAAAAGAGCAGGAGGTGGGCTGGGCATAGTGGCTCATGCTTGTAATCCCAGCACTTCGGGAGGCCAAGGCAGGAGGACTGCTTGAGTTCAGGAGCTTGAGACCAGTTTGGGCAATGTTGTGAAACCCTGTCTCTACAAAAAATGAGCTGAGCGCGGTGGCATGGGCCTGTGATTCCAGTTATTTGGGAGCCTGAGTTGGAAGGAGCCTCAAGTCTGGGAAATCGAGGCTGCAGTGAGCTATGATTGCACCGCTGCACTCCAGCCTGGATGACAGAGCAAAAAAAGCCGGAGGTGGTGGGAAAAAAGGAGGGGTTTTCAAGAGGGATGTGCTCAGAGGTGTTGATTGCTGTGGAAAGTCAAGAAGGAGGGTAAAAGCCTGGAACGTGACCCTTGGGTTTGCCAACTGAGAAGTGTCTTCAGAACTCTTTGAAGCACTTCTGAGGTGTTGCAGTAATGGGGTGCCAGGCTGCTGGGAAGGGAAGAGGGAGCCACCTGATTGCAGACTCCCTCCGTCTCAGGTAATGGGCACTCAGTGGGGGGACTGTGTTTCTATTCTTTTTTTTTTTTTTGGAGATGGAGTCTCACTCTGTAGCCAAGGCTGGAGTGCAATGGCATGATCTTGGCTCACTGCAACCTCCTCCTCCCGGGTCCTGGTTCAAGCATTTCTCCTACCTCAGCTTCCCAAGTAGCTGGGATTACAAGCATGAGCCACCATGCCCAGCTAATTTTTGTATTTTTTAGTAGAGATGGGGTTTTACCACATTGGCTAGTCTGGTCTTGAACTCCTGACCTCATGATCTGCCCGCCTCAGCCTCCCAAAGTGCTGGGATTACAGGCGTGAGCCACTGTGCCTGGCCAGGGACTGTGTTTCTTGGCACATACTTGGTTCTCCCTAGTGATGGGCAGCTCTGCTTAGATTGAGCTTCTGTACCCTCAACCAAAAATCCTGTTGCCCTGGGTGATCAGAGGTGGTACCCACAGCCTTCAGGACTAAACAGCCACAATAATCCTTCCTGGAGCCAGAGGAGGAACTCTATATAAACCGTGGGGTTTTCTGGGGCTCCAAACCAACAATTGTTTACAGCTTTTATCACACAGCAAAAATATCTTACGTATTGGCAAGACACCAACACAAGGTTGAAGGCAGGCTTATCTTTCATGGGTGCTTCTCATTAGAACCTAAAACTCTTTTTTTTTTTTTTTTTGGAGATGAAGTTTCATTCTGTCACCCAGGCTGGAGTGCAATGGCACGATCTTGGCTCACTGAAACCTCTACCTCCAGGGTTCAAGCGATTCTCCTGCCTCAGCCTCCTGAGTAGCTGGGATTACAGGTGTGCGCCACCACACCTGGCTAATTTTTGTATTTTTAGTAGAGACTGGGTTTCAACATGTTGTCCAGGCTGGTCTCGAACTCCTGACCTCAACTGATTTGCCCACCTGGGCCTCCCAAAGTGCTGAGATTCAGGCATGAGCCACCACACCTGGCCTAGAAGCAAACATTTTTTTCTTTTGAGATGGAGTTTTTTGCTCTTGTTACCCAGGATGGAGTGCAATGGCGCGATCTCGGATCACCGCAACCTCCGCCTCCTGGGTTCAGGCAATTCTCCTGCCTCAGCCTCCTGAGTAGCTGGGATTACAGGCACGCACCACCCTGCCCAGCTAATTTTTTGTATTTTTAGTAGAGACGGGGTTTCACCATGTTGACCAGGATGGTCTCGATCTCTTGACCTTGTGATCCACCCGCCTCAGCCTCCCAAAGTGCTGGGATTACAGGCGTGAGCCACCGTGCCCGGCCCAAAACAAAAACTTTTAAAGGCTCACTGACCCCCACTTAAGCTTCCTTTATCTAGCATTTAGAACCTAGAAAAGATCAAAACAACCACTTGTCCAGGGCAGCACTAATTGGCAGTGGAATCCAGTGGTTTTATTGCTCTGTAATAAGGTTACTTACTTTCTTTCTTGAACTTATTTATTTATTTATTTTAGACAAAGTCTCACTCTGTCACCCAGGCTGGAGTGCAGTGGTGCAGTCTTGGCTCATTGCAACCTTCACCTCCCTGGTTCAAGCAATTCTCATGCCTCAGCCTCCTGAGTAGCTGGGATTACAGGTGACCACCACTATGTGCGGCTAATTTTTGTCTTTTTAGTGAAGATGGGATTTTGCCATGTTGGCCAGGCTGGTCTCGAACTCCTGACCTCAAGTGATCTGCCTGCCTTGTCCCCCCAAAGTGCTGGGATTACAGGTGTGAGCCATGGCACCAGACCTTTGCTTTAATCACTATGCACATGGCTTCCCATCTGCCTTTTACTTTACCCTGTCCCTGGTGGCTGCCTGAAGATCTCAGAACACCATGTATAGGAGATGTGCATCCGAGAAGGATTTCTGATGCTGTTTATCTTTAGGGACTTGTTACTGGGCTTCTGTCTGCCACGACAACAGAAATGTGCCTAGCAAACAATTCCTTTTTGTTGGAAGGCAGTCTTGTCAGGGGCCTTTGAGGGCCTTGCCTAGGATATTAGACCAGCAGTATTTATTTATTTTTTTCTTTTGTTGCTCTGTAATGACGTTACTTACTTTCTTTCTTGGATTTATTTATTTATTTATTTTAGACAAAGTCTTGCTCTTGCTCAGGCCTTAGTGCAGTGGCTGCGATCTTGGCTGACTGCAACCTCTGCTTCCTGGGTTCAAGCGATTCTCCTGCCTCAGCCTTTCCAGGAGCTGGGATTACAGGCACGAGCCACCACGCCCGTTTATTTATTTTTGTACTTTTAATAGAGACGGGGTTTCACTGTGTTAGCCTGGATGGTCTCGATTTCCTGACCTCGTGATCCACCCGCCTCAGCCTCCCAAAATGCTGGGATTACAAGCGTGAGCCACCACGTCCGGCCCTGGACCAGCAGTATTTCATAGCTACTACTTAAAATACCCCAGACTTTCAGCCCGTAAATCTCTTGTATTATTCTGCAGATCTACCAATGGCAGTCAGACCGAGAGGCAGATGCAGTCTCCGGTTCGCGATTTGGGAGCAGTCTTTGAAACAAAGTCACCATCTAGTTCTGGCATGCTACTGGGAGGAAACGCACAGAGCTTAAGACTCAGACCAGGCCAGGTGCCTGAGTCGAGGCAGAGCTGAGGCGTCTCCAGGCATCTTCTCGCTTAGCAGTCTTTCTTTTACAACACACTGATCCCCGTGTTCGGCGTATTATGGGGAATCGCAGGGCATTCCTTTCCATGGACATAAATTCCCACGTCTACTGGTGACATCAAGTCACAAGAGGCCAGAGTGCAGTTTTTTTTTTTCTTTTTTTTTTGAGACGGAGTTTCACTCTTGCTGCCCAGGCTGGAGTGCAATGGCGCAATATCGGCTCACAGCAACCTCCGCCTCAAGGGTTCAAGCGACTCTCCTGCTTCAGCCTCTCAAGCAGCTGGAATTACAGGCATGCACCACCACACCGGGCTAATTTTGTCTTTTTGGTAGGGACAGGGTTTCTCCATGTTGGCCAGGCTGGTCTCCAACTCCTGACCTCAGATGATCCGCTTGCCTCGGACGCCCAAAGTGCTGGGATTACATGAGTGGGCCACCACCGGCTCGTAGCGCAGTTTTCAAGTCAGACTCCAGCCAGAAACGAAGTTGGCCTCTTCCGGAGGAGCCAAATAACTGATGGACGGGCGCACACGGTGCGCACACGGTGGAGAGGTGAGGGGCTTTCTGCGTTTGGGTAGAGTGGCGTTGGCTTTAGGTGTCCACGGTGGGGCAGTACCTCTAATGGTCCCTGGTATATAGTCCCCAAATATAGCAGCGCTTGGGCCTCGACGAAGGGGGTGCCACCAACCCTGTGGGGAAAGCGCAAGGTCAGCGGCGGCGCCAGGAGCCAGGGACAGTGCGGAGGGAGTAGCGTCCCCGGCCCAGCCCCAGAGCGGGGCCTGGAGCAGTCGAGAAGGCGGCCTCCTGCCGCCTAGAGGCGCCGGCCCGTTTGTCCGCTCTGCCTGTGCCCGGTCTCTATGGCGACCCCAACGGCCGTCCCGGACGTGGAGCGAGATGAGCGCGGGCGCTGACGGCAGCGGTGGCCCTGAGGTGGCGGCGCGGTCGGGCGAGGGCAGTCCCGGAGAGGACGGTTTCGTTCCGTCGGCGCTGGGGACGCGTGAGCAGTGAGTGTGACGCAGGGCAGGGGAGGGTGAGCCGTGTTGCCCTGCCTGGGCCTCAAGAAGGGGACGGCGGGATGGAGACCCGGGGCACTGGGACCGGGAGACCCTCGGGGGCGTGACGCGAGCAGGGCCGCCTTGCGGGAGGCTCGGGGATTTGAAAGGGTGGAATACCTTGGGGTCACCACGCGCGGTTAAGCGACGTTTCAAGGGATTGGAGCCCAACGGGCTTGTGGGTGGAGACAGGCTTTGAAGCTCTTGGGGAGGCCTTTTGGGAGTCTCGAACCCGGGGGCCAGGCTTGGGGGAAACGGGGAGAGGGCGAGGCTGGCGAATAGGGCTGGTCAGCGAGAGTAGGAGACCAAGGGAGAAGTGCCGGGCCTGGGAGTCGAAAAGGCTAAGGGCAGGAGGGACCTGGAAGGGGTGGGAATAACGGATGATCCAAACGGGGAGCGAGGAGATAGTGGGGCATCTTGGGGTGAGAGAAAGCGATCTGACCTAAAACAGGCGCTCAGGATTATTAAATGAATTAATGGATGGATGGGTGGATGAATGACTGCAGAGAACAGTTAGGGAGAGGTAAGTAAGTTGTAGGGATGAGGAGGAGCAGGGATTCTAGAGAATCATTGTAGGAAAAGAGAAGGCAAATTAAAAGGATTCAGAGGGCCAGGCGCGGTGGCTCACGCCTGTAATCCCAGCACTTTGGGAGGTCGAGGCAGGGGGATCACGAGGTGAGGAGATTGAGAACATTCGGACCAACAAGGTGAAACCCCGTCTCTACTGAAAATACCAAAATTAGCCAGGTGTGGTGGCGCAAGCCTGGAATCCCTGCGACACGGGAGGCTAAGGCAAGAGAATCGCTTGAACTCAGTTGGCGGAGGTTGCGGTGAGCCGGTACCGCTCCGCTGCACACTCCAGCCTGGTGACAGAGCAAGACTCTGTCTCAAAAAGAAAAGAAAAGAAAAGGATTCAGAGAAAATTTAAACAGAGGGCTAGAAGACTGGAATAGGCAGAGACAGATAGCACAGGAAAGAGACTGTGTGCCTGCACGCTTGAGACCAGATGTGCTTGTTTCATCAAATTTTGGACTTGGGTCAGGGACTTAGGGTTACATGGACAAATGTCTCTGTATTTTTTTTAGGCTAAAACTTATTGTTGTGCATCAGATATTGTCCTAAATGCTTTAGATGTACAGTGTAAACGTATTCTGCTTGCCCACGTATTTCATTCTTTTACCTCAAGGATGTTAAAAGATCGAACTATGTGTACTTATTAGTAACACTAGTGATGTTTTAAACCTCTGTCATAAATAGTTCTGTAATGTATTAGAAACGTACATTTAATTCATAATACAGTTTAATTCAAGAGTCTTGCTTTGCATTTCATTATTTACATAGTTGGGATGCTGTCTATGAGAGAGAACTGCGAACTTTCCAAGAATATGGAGATACAGGTGAAGTCTGGTGAGTTAGGAAAAGGATCGAGTTACAGTCTAGAAGATTGTATGTATATGTGTGTGTTTAAAAAAATATGTATAGCCGGGCGTGGTAGCTCACACCTGTAATCCAAGCACTTTGGAGGCCAAGGCGGGTGGATTACCTGAGGTCGGGAGTTCAAGACCAGCCTGACCAACATGGTGAAAACAAAAAATGTGTATATTCACTAGGGGAGGGACAGCAGGGAGTGGGGAATTGGGGACGGATAACATGGGAAGAAATGCCAAATATCGGTGATGGGGAGGAAGGGAGCAAACCACACTGCCATGTGTGTACCTATGCAACAATCTTGCATGTTCTTCACATGTACCCCAAAACCTAAAATGCAATTTAAAAAAGTGTATATTCAAGTGCTTATACCCAAAGAAAGATGACCTAAAAATCCTGGGAACCCTGGATTAAGTCTTGTTTTAGTGGGTAGATTTAAAGTCTGTCTCTTCTTTCTTTTATTATTTTTTATTTTTTTGCTTTTTTTAGAGAGGGTATCATTCTGTCATCCAGGCTGGAGTACAGTGGCATGATCATCATAGCTCACTACAACTTGGACCTCCTAGGCCCAAGTGATCCTCCTGCTACAGCCTCTTGGGTAGCTGGGACTATAGCTGCATGCCATCATGCCCAGCAAATTAAAAAACATTTTTTGTAGAGACAGGGTCTCACTGTGTTGCCCAGGCTGATCTTTGAACTCCTGGCCTCAAGTGATCCTCCCACCTTGGCCTTCCAAAGTGTTGGGAGAATGGGTGTGAGCCCTCTTTTAATATCTCGTATTTATATTTGATGACAGTATTTCATGCTATAGTTGTCCTTTTTCAATAAGCAATAAAATTTTGAACCACCAACATTTACAAGTATTAATGCTGATATAGAAAAATGTTAATCAGTAACATACTGACCTTGTCTATTCCTGGAGGTGGTTTCTCCTAAATTACAGTAGAGACAAAGCTACAGTCACAGATATTCTCACTTTCAAATAAGACTTTGAGCATGTGGTATAAATAGCTTAAATGGAATATAGTGGTGACCTTTGCTCTGTATCCCTCAATTATTTGCCTGATTCTCTCTTTCTAACAGGTTTGGAGAAGAGAGTATGAATCGACTAATAAGGTGGATGCAGAAACGCAAGGTTCCATTGGATGCTTCAGTGCTTGATATTGGAACTGGAAATGGTGTTTTCCTGGTTGAACTTGTTGGTACTTTTAGTATTTGTTTGTTAGAGACAAATTTTAAAATAAAAAATTTTAAAAGCCTGCAATTGAGGATATTAACTATCTAAATATAAAATAGTAAAGCAGTCATACTTTGACAAGTCACATAGTACAAAAGGGAGGCTGTGTGGACTGTGAGAAAGCCCTGAATGAGAACCTAGGGGATCTGAGTCCTAGTCTTGATCCTTCTGGCTGTAGCCTGAACCTTGAGCAAGCTACTGAATTTTTCTAGGCTTCAGTTTTTTTCTAGGGATTATGACTAGGTGATTGCTTTTGGTTCTTTTTCTTGTAGCTCAAAACTCTGCACATCTATTTATATAAAAGTTGACCTTTCGCAATTCCGGTAGGACATACATATCTTATCTTGGGTGAGCATATGGTTTGAAAAGAGCATTTTGTCCATGGAGCTGGGTTTTGGTACCCATTCCACTGTTATATGCTTGTACTGTGCTCTTGCTATACTGTGTGCTATGGAGGAATTATACGACTTAGGCGTCATCCTAGATAGTTTTACAGTCTTAATTAGTACAGAAATAAACGTAAGAGTGAAATTTGTTGAGTACCACATGCCAAGTGTCATATTAGGCGTTTGCAACATGAAAATTTGTACTTGAATTGTTTTTTTTTGAGATGGAGTCTTGCTCTGTCACCCAGGTGATCTTGGCTCACTGCACCTCCACCTCTTGTGTTCAAGAGATTCTCCTTCCTCAGCCTCCTGAGTAGCTGGGATTATAGGTGCCCGCCACCATGCCTGGCTAATTTTTTGTATTTTTCAGTAGAGACAGGGTTTCACCATGTTGGTCAGGCTGGTTTTGAACTCCTGACCTCAGGTGATCCATCCGCCTGGACCTCCCAAAGTGCTAGGATTACAGGAGTGTGCCACCATGCCCTACCCTGTACCTGAATTGTTTACAGTACAATAGAGTATGGACTGACATATAGACAGTTGTGCTATCACTTGATGCACGCAGTAATATGCTGAAAAGAGGGTGATTAATTTTGGAATGGAGGAATGGGAAACATCTTGGAGGAGTTAATATCCAAGTTGCGCAGAAATTTCAGGGACAGCATGGTGACCTAGTAGAGTGTAAAGAAGAAGAGGATTTCAACTGATGGAAATGTTCTGGGCCTGTAAATAATTTGACAAATTGAAATACAGAGTATAAGGCCGGGCGCGGTGGCTCACGCCTATAATTCCAGCACTTTGGGAGGCCGAGGCGGGTGGATCATGAGGTCAAGAGATCGAGACCATCCTGGTCAACAAGGTGAAACACCGTCTCTACTAAAAATACAAAAATTAGCTGGGCATGGTGGTGTGTGCCTGTAGTCCCAGCTACTCAGGAGGCTGAGGCAGGAGAATTGCCTGAACCCAGAAGGCGGAGGTTGCAGTGAGCTGAGATCATGCCATTGCACTCCAGTCTGGGTAACAACAGTGAAACTGTCTCAAAAAAAAAAAAAAAAAAAAAAAATACAGAGTATATGTGGGGATGGACAGAGATGAGGATTAAGTTAAAGGTAGGATTTATGCTTTGCCATGCTTAAGAGCTTTGATATTGCATTTAGGCTATGGCGAATTTAAAAATGTTTTTAGTGATGGAATACGGTTAGAAAAACTTGAAATAAAGCTTTTTGAAACATTGAGATAGAGCATATGTACATTGAAGAGCACAAACCAGAAGTATACAAACCAGAAGCTAAATGAATTATCAGAAAGTGAATACATCCACATAACAATCACTTGGTCAAGATATAGAATATTACAGAACTCTAGAAATTCTCCTAGAACTCCCTAGCAATTATTATTCCCTCCTTCCTTTTTTTTTTTGAGGCAGAGTCTTCTTTTTTCAACTGGGTAGGAAAACAGTAGTGTGATCGCGGCTCATTGCAACCTCAACCTCTCAGACTCAAGTGATCCTCTCGCCTCGTTTGTTGATTTTTTTTGTAGAGACAAGGTCTCACTATGTTGCCCAGGCTGGCCTTCCTTCCTTTTTAAAAGTAACCACTATGTACCAATCATGAATCAAAGATGAGTTTTAAATCAGATTAATTTGCCTGTTTTTGAATGTATAAATGAAACTCATTAACTCCTGACCTCAAATACACCCGCCTTGGCCTCCCGGAGTGCTAGGATTATAGGTGTGAGCCACCTCGCCCAGCCAGTTTGTAGATTCCTTTAGATTTTATTCACATATAATTATGTATACTCTGCATAGTGGCAATTATGTTTTTTCTTTCCTAATCCTTTATAACTTTTCCTCTTAATTACGTTTTCTAGGACCGCCAGTAGAATGTTGAAAAGTAGTGATGATAGAAGGCATCCTTGTCTTTCTCTTCCCTTTTCAGAAAATGCTTTCAATATTTCAGTCTTAGGTGTCATGTTAGCTGTTTGTTTTGTAGATAACTTCTAACAGATTAAGGAAATTTCCTTCTAGTCCTGCTTTGCTAAGAGGGGTGTTTGTATGTATGTGTATGTGTGTTTCCTTTTTTTGAGATGAAGTCTCACTCTGTCACCCAGGCTAGAGTGCAGTGATGCGGTCTTGGCTCACTGCAACCTCTGCCTCCCAGGTTCAAGTGATTTTCGTGCCTCAGTGTCCCCAGTAGCTGGGATTACAGGTGTTTGCCACCACACCCGGATAATTTTTTGTGTTTTTAGTAGAGACAGGATTTCGTTAGGTTACTCAGGCTGGTCTTGAACTTCTGAGCTCAGGTGATCTGCCTGCCTCGGCCTCCCAAAGTAGTAGGATTACAGGCGTGAGCCACCACACCCAGCTGGTTTCTTTCTTTTTAAAAAAAAAAAAAAATGTAGAGACAGAGTCTCCCTCTATTTCCCAGGCTGGAGTGCAGTGGTACGATCCTAACTCCCTACAGCCTTGAACACTTGGGCTCAAGCAGTTCTATTGCCTTGGCTTCCCAAGTAGCTGAGATTATGGGTCTACAACACCACACCTGGCTGTGTGTATGTTTCTTATGAATCTTGTTGTTTGTCAAATGTTTTTCCTGTTATCAAGATAATCAAGTAATTTTTCTCTTATAGTCTGTTAATGTTGATGAATTACATTGGGCCCATTTTCAAGTGTTAAGTGTGTTTCTGGAACGAACCAAACTTACATATGCCACTAGATTGAGTTTAATATTTTGTTTAGGATTTTTGCAGCTCTCTCCTGATGGAGACTGTCCTGTAATTTTCTTGTGATGCGATTGTCAAGTTTTGGTGTTAGGTTATGCTGGTTGAAATTCTATTTCTTTGAAATTTTAAGAATGATGTTATTTCTTTCTTAAATGTTAGGTAGAATTCACTGGTGAAACCACCTAGATAAGGGGTCGTTTTTGGGAAGTCTTTTTTGAGTTAAGCTTTTCTTTTCTTTCCTTTTTTTTTTTTGAGATGGAGTTTCGCTCTTGTTACCCAGGCTGGAGTGCAATGGCATGATCTTGGCTCACCGCAACCTCTGTCTCCTGGGTTCAAGCAATTCTCCTGCCTCATCCTCCCAAGTAGCTGGGACTATAGGTGCGCACCATCATGCCCAGCTAATTTTTGTATTTTTAGTAGAGACGGGTTTCACCATGTTGACCAGGATGGTCTTGATCTCTTAACCTTGTGATCCACCTGTCTCGGCCTCCCAAAGTGCTGGGATTATAGGCGTGAGCCACGGCGCCTGGCCTTCTTTCCTTTTTTTTTTTTTGAGGCAGAGTCTTGCTCTGTCACCCAGGCTTGAGTGTAGTGGTGCCATCTTGGCTCACTGCAACCTCTGCCTCCTGGGTTCAAGTGATCCTCCTGTTTCAGCCTCCTGAGTAGCTGGGACTATAGTCGTGCACCACCATGCCTGGCTAATTTTTGTATTTTTAGTAGAGATGGGATTCTGCCATGTTGGCCAGCTGGTGTTGAACTCTTGATGTCAGGTAATCTGCCTGCCTCAGCCTTCTGGAGTGCTCAGATTACAGGTGTGAGCCACTCTGCCTGGCCTGAACTTCTTAATTGAAATGTAGTTTATGTAGAAAGCTGAGCCCAAGTGGTACAAAATGAACTCCTTGTGTTATTTACCAACCTGACCAAAAAATAAGACATTTCCAGTTCCATAGGAGCCTCCTTATGCCCTCTCTCACTCCTTTCCTTTCTAAAATTGACCACTGCTGTGACTTCTATCATCATGTAGTAGGCTGTTTTTGATATTAACTGTAGTAGTTTCTTACGGTTTTAATTTGCATTTCTCTAATGAGTAATGATGTTGAACACCTTTTCATGTGCTTATTTGCCACCTGTATATCTTTTTTTTTTTTTTTTTTTTTTTGAGATAGAGTCTTGGTCTGTTGCCCAGGCTGGAGTGCAGTGGCGTGATGTGATCTTGGCTCACTGCAACCTCTACCTACCGGGTTCAAGCGATTCTCCTGCCTCAGCCTCTTCAATAGCTGGTACTACAGGAGTGCACCACCACATCCAGCTAATTTTTTTTGTATTTTTAGTAGCGACAGGGTTTTACCATGTTGGCTGGGCTGATCAAACTCCTGATCTCAGATGATCTGCCCACCTCGGCCTCCCAAAGTGCTGGGATTACAGGCATGAGCCACCTCGCCCGGCTTGAATATAGAATTCTGAGCTAGCTGGGTCTTTCAGTATTTTAAAAATGTCACGTCACTTGTTTCTGACTTCTGTGTTTTCTCATGAGTAATCTGTAGTTATTTGAATTGTGGTTGAAAAAATAAATGCATTATTTTTCTGGATGCTTTTAAGACTTTTTTTCTTTGTGTTTTTTGCTGTTTGTTTAGGATGTGCTGCTGCTTGGTTTACTTTGGCTTATCATATTTGGTGTTCATTGAACTTTTTGTATCTCTAAACTTATGTCTTTTGCCATATTTGAGATATTTCTAACTTTTGTTTTTTCAATTTTTTGTCTGTATTACTGCCTTTCTCTTTTCCTTTACAGGCATGAGCCACTGCTCCAGGCCCTGTTTCTTTGTTGTAGTTTTCAGTTCTCTGCTAGAAATCTCCCATTTGTCATTGTCATTCCTGTCAGTTGTTTTAAAATCTTATTTATTTATGTATTTTTAAGACGGGGTTTCACCATGTTGGTCAGGCTGGTCCTGAACTCCCGATGTCAGGTGATCTGCCTGCCTTGGCCTCCAAAGTGCTTGGATTACAGGCGTGAGCCACTGTGCCCGGCCTGTTTTAAAATCTTTTTCTGGGCTGGGCGCGGTGGCTCAAGCCTGTAATCCCAGCACTTTGGGAGGCCGAGGTGGGTGGATCACGAGGTCAAGAGATCGAGACCATCCTGGTCATCATGAAACCCCATCTCTACTAAAAATACAAAAAATTAGCTGGGCATGGTGGCACGTGCCTGTAATCTCAGCTACTCAGGAGGCTGAGGCAGGAGAATTGCCTGAACCCAGGAGGCGGAGGTTGCAGTGAGCCGAGATAGCGCCATTGCACTCCAGCCTGGGTAACAAGAGCGAAACTCTGTCTCAAAAAAAAAAAAAAAGTCTTTTTCTGATTATTTATTTGGGTCTCCTGTGTGGTCTGTTTCTAAAGTCAATTTCTCCCCTTGGTTTTGGTTGTTTCCTTGAATGTCTGCTCATTTTTGGGTGCCAGAAATTGAATGTGAGGAGATAGTTTAAGGCCCCAACTGATAACTCTAGAAACCTAAAACATCTGTATGTGATTCTAGTTGTACTAGAAGAATAAACAGGCATGGGAGAAGAAGGAGCCGATAAGAATCCGTTAATAGACTCATCCTGGGTTCTAGATCTCCCAGAGAAGGAGTTAAGGGAAATGGGGAGAAAATAAGATCTCAAGGAATAAGGCGGGATACAGCTAAAAGAGTAGAAGGTTGGCATCAAAAAAGAGGATATTAGATCTTTAGATTAAAAACAAAATAAAGGGAGCAATCTGCCTATAGAAAATAATTGGTATACTTTTTCCTTGAGTTTAGATTAGGAATCAGTTACTTAGCATTGAAAAGACTTGGTAGGTCTTAGTGGATTTAGATATGGCAGTAAGTTAAGTTTTATAGGAAGTAACCATTTAGTAAATGGTGAAGAGCAGGAAGGGAATTTCAGGCTGTACTGTACTTTATAACTTACTTTGTTTTCTATGTTTCCTTTGAAATTATTTTTAGTCTCATTGGTCTAAAAATGTTCAGCCTTGTTAGCAGGTATGTAAAGACCAGAAGCCACCATGCTTTTGCCACAGACTCACACAGCCTAGAGATAGGTTAGTAAACACCAGAACTCTCAAGTCCAGTGAGTTAAAGAAACTTTCTTGGGGATACTGATAGCTGCCCACCCTACCTCACAGGTTTTTGTAAAGATCTAATGGAATGTATGAAATATTTTTAAAAATGAAAAAGTATTATTCTGAATACTAAAAAAAACAAAGAAAAATGAAAAAGTAATATACAAATGTAGGGTGGTTAAAAATCACATGGTTGGTGGAGAATTGCATAATGTATAATTACACTGAAGGGAAAATTTAAAAATTGATAGCTTAATACATTTGCATTGATTTTATTCATGTAACTTAAGTGGGTTTAGTAAAATTTATGACAAATTTATGTGTAATTGGAAATTACCAGCATCAAAAGTTAATGTTACCTTTTTCTGCCTAAGGGCTTATACATATATTTTCATTACTTTTGAGAACATGAATTTCCTTTTAGAAAAGAAAATATTATGAAAACAAAGGCATTGTCACAGTATATAAACTTTCAATTTTTTAGAGTCTACAATAAAATTTAAAAATTATGAATTACTGGATTATATGTCATGTTCTCTACAACAAAAATAACTCCCCAGTCCTGTGAAACATCATATTAAAGCTTTTACCAACTAAAGTATAAAATTATTTCTCTCTAGGCAAAATTTGGTTTCTCTAATATTACTGGAATTGATTACTCTCCTTCTGCAATTCAGCTTTCTGGAATTATTACAGAAAAAGAAGGTTTATCCAACATTAAGTTAAAGGTAACTATTATTTATATTACTATAATATTTATAATAGAAGTTAAATGTTTCTAAAGTATAATAGTTGACGTTTTATTTTTTATTTTATTTATTTATTTTTTGAGACAGAGTCCGGCTCTGTCCCTGGCTGGAGTGCCCTGGTACAATGTCGGCTCACTGAAACCTCTGACTCCCGGGTTTAAGCAATTCTCTTGCCTCAGCCTCCCGAGTAGCTGGGATTACAGGTGACCGCCACAACGCCCGGCTGATTTTTTTGTATTTTTAGTAGAGACGGGGTTCCTCCATGTTGGCCAGGCTTGTCTCTAATTCCTGACCTCAGGTGATCCACCCACCTTGGCCTGCCAAAGTGCTGGGATTACAGGAGTGAGCCACTGCACCTGTTTGACATGTTTTAAACTCACGTAAATTAGGGATCAATTATAAATAATACAAATTGAAACATTTTTAAGTAGCCATATTAAAAATTTAATCTAAAGGCCGGGCATGGTGGCTCAAGCCTGTAATCACAGCACTTTGGGAGGCCGAGGCGGGTGGATTACGAGGTCAAAAGATCGAGACCATCCTGGTCAAGATGGTGAAACCCTGTCTCTACTAAAAATACAAAAAAATTAGCTGGGCATGGTGGCGCATGCCTATAATCCCAGCTACTCAGGAGGCTGAGGCAGGAGAATTGCCTGAACCCAGAAGGCGGAGGTTGCAGTGAGCCGAGATCGCACCATTGCACTCCAGCCTGGGTAACAAGAGCGAAACTCCGTCTCAAAAAAAAAAAATTTAATCTAGTTGGTTTGGGGAAATTATTTTTTCTTTCTCTTCTGTATGTTTGTTCATATACTACTGCTCCTGATGTTTACAAATACATATAATACTTAACTATGGATTAGCCAGATCAATAAGTTTTAAATGCATCAAGCAGTATAATGTCATCAAAAATAATTTAGTTTATTTTGTGTTCTATGATCTGTGAGATGATGACTCCTAAATTATTTTTCTAGCTCAGGCCTCTCTTCTGAGCTCTAGAGTTATAGGCAGGCGTGCCTTGTTTTTATAGCTTCCCAAATGGCATTTTTTTTTTTTTTTGACAAATCAAAGGTTTGTGGCAAGCCTGTTGAGCCCGTCTATTGGCACTATTTTTCCAATTGCATTGTTCTCACTTTTTGTCATATTTTGGTAATTGTTGTAATATTTCAGAACTTTTTTTTTTTGAGATGGAGTCTTGTTCTGTCACCAGGCTAGAGTGCAGTGGCGCGATCTTGGCTGACTGCAGCCTCCACCTCCCGGGTTCAAGCAGTTCACCTGCCTAAGCCTCCCAGGTAGCTGGGACTACAGGTGTGCACCACCACGTCCAGATAATTCTTTGTATTTTTAGTAGAGATGGAATTTCGCAATGTTGGCCAGGATGGTCTTGATCTTTTGACCTTGTGATCCGCCTGCCTCGGCCTCCTAAATTGCTGAGATTATGGGTGTGAGCCACTGTGCCTGGCCCAGAACTTTTCATTATTATTATATCTGTTATGGTGATTTGTAGTCAATGATCTTTGATATTACTATTGTAGTTGTTTTGGGGCACTATGAACTGTGCCCACATAAGATGGTAAACTGAATTGATAAATGTTGTATGTTCTGTCTGCTCTACCTACTGGCTGGTCTCCTATCTATTTCCCTCTCTCCCCCTCAAGCCTCCTTCTTTCTTGGGACCCGGCAATATTGAAATTAGGCCAGTTAAAAACCCTACAGTGGGACGGGCATGGTGGCTAACGCCTGTAATCCCAACGCTAGGAGGCTGAGGTAGGCAGATCACTTTGAGGTCAAGAGTTCGAGACCAGCCTGGCCAACATGGTGAAACCTCTCTCCACTAAAAATACAAAAAATAGCCAGGTGTGGTGGTGTGCACCTGTAGTCCTACCTACTTGAGAGGCTAAGGTGCGAGGATCACCTGAACCTGGGAGGTGGAGGTTGCAGTGAGCTAAGATTGTGTCACTGCACTCCAGCCTGGGTGACAGAGGGAGACTACGTCTCAAAAAACAAAAAGAAAAAAACAAACATAAAAAATGAACAACCCGCCCCCCCTTCAATACAGTGGCCTTTAAGTGTTCAATTGAAAGGTAGAGTCACACATCTCTCAAAAATCATTCTAGCTTTTAAATCAAAAGCTAGAAATGATTAAGCTTAGTGAGGAAGGCATGTTGAAAGCTGAGATAGGCCAGAAGCTAGGCCTCTTGTTACAAAATTTAGTCAAGTTGTGAATGTAAAACTAAATTTCTTTAAGGAAATTAAAAGTGATATTTCAGTGAACACATGAATAATGAGAAAGTCAAACAGCCTTATTGCTGATACGGAGAAAGTTTTAGTGGTCCAGGTAGAAGATCAAACCAGTCACAGCATTCTCTTAAGCCAAAGTGTAATCCACAGCAAGGCCCTGACTCTTCAGTTCTGTGAAGGCTGAGAGAGGTGAAGAAGAAGAAAAGTCTGAAGCTAGCAGTAGTTCATGAGATTTAAGAAAAGAAGCCATCTTGGCTGGGCATGGTGGCTCACACCTGTAATCACAGCACTTTGAGAGGCCAAGGCAGGAGGATCACCTGAGCTCAGGAGTTTGACATCTGCCTGGGCAACATGCTGAAACCCTGTCTTTACTAAAAGTACAAAAAGTTAGCCGGGCATGTTGGCAGGTGCCTGTAATCCTAGCTTCTTTAGAGGCTGAGGCAAGAGTATTGCTTGAACCTGGGAGGTGGAGGTTGCGATGAGCGAAGATTGTGCCACTGCACTCTAGCCTGGGCAACAGAATGAGACTCCATCTCAAAAGAAGAAAAAAAAAGAAAAAAGAAGCCATTTCCATGATGTGAAAGTGCAAGATAAAGCACTAAGTGCTGATGTAGAAGCAGTAGCAAGTTAGCTAGGAACTAACCAGTGAAGCTGGCTAAACAACACACAGATTTTCGATGGAGATGACACAGCCTTATGTTGGAAGATGTCATATAGGAGTTCCATAGCTAGAGAGGAGAAGTCAGTGCCTGGCTTTAATGCTTCAAAGGAGAGGCTGACATTCTTGTTAGAGGGGCCTAATGTGGCTCATGACTTTAAGTTGAAGCCAATGCCCATTTACCTTTCTGAAAATCCTAGGGCCACTAAGAATTACACTAAATCTTCTCTGCATGAGCTCTATATAAATGGAACAAAGCAAAGCCTGGATGATGGCACATCTGTTTACAGTATGGTTTACTGAATATTTTAAGCCCGTTTTTGAGACCTACTAGCCCAAAAGAAAAAGACTCAAAGTAGTACTGATCATTGACAATGCATGAATTCACCCAAGAGCTCTGATGGAGATGTATAAGAAAATTAATCTTGTTTTTATTCCTATTAACACAGCATCTGTTCTGTAGCCCATGATGGATCAATAAGTAATTTTGACTTTGCAGTCTTAAATGTGTTATTTAAGAAATGTATTTCATAGGGCTATAGTTGTCATAGATAGTGATTTCACTAATGGATTTGGGCAAAGTAAATTGAAAACCTTCTGGAAATGATTCGCCATTCTAGATGTCATGAAGAACATTTGTAATTCATAGGAGGTCAGTATATCAACACTCATGAGTTTGGAAGAAGTTGATTCCCACCCTAATGGATGACTTGGAGAGAGGTTGAAGATTTCAAGTGGAGAAATTAACTGCAAATGTAGTGGAAGTAGCAGACTAGAATTATAAGTGGAACCTGAAGGTGTAACTGAGTTGCTGCAGTCTCACGATAAAACTTGATCAAATAAGGAGTTGCTTCTTACGGTGGACGAGCAAAAAAAGTGGTTTCTTGAGATGGAATCGACTGGTAAAGATACGGTGAATATTGTTGAAAAAGGATTTTGAATATTTCATAAACTTAGTTGATAAAGCAGAAACAGGATTTGAGAGCATTGACTCCCAAATTGAAGGAAGTTCTGAGTATACAATGCTATCAAACAATATCATGTGCTCCAAAGAAATCTCATAAAAGGAAGAGTCAATCAATGCAGCAAACTTCATTATTGTCTTATTTTAAAAAATTGTCACAGCCACCCCAGCCTTCAGCAACCACCACCCTGATCAGTCAACAGTCATCGTCATTGAGGCAAGGCCTTCCAGCCAGAGAAAAGATTATGTCTTACTCATGGTTTACATCATGGTTTGCTAGTTTGTTAGTGTTTTTTAACAATAAAGTATTTTTTTGGGGGATGGAGTCTTGCTCTGTTGCCCAGGCTGGAGTGCCATGGCGTGATCTTGGCTAACTGTAACCTCTGCCTCCTGGGTTCAAGTGATTCTCCTGCCTCAGCCTCCTAAGTAGCTGGAACTACAGGGGCGTGCCACCATGCCTGGCTAATTTTTTGTATTTTTAGTAGAGGTGGGGTTTCACTGTGTAGCTAGGATGGTCTTGATCTCCTGACCTCGTGATCTGCTCAGCTCAGCCTCCCAAAGTGCTGGGATTACAGGCATGAGCCGCCACGCCTGGCCAATATAAGGTATATTTTCATACAGGGACCTTTTCTATTTTGTTTACTCATTATATCTAGTGTCTGAAAACTACCTGACAATAGATGTCCACAAAATATTTGTTGAATAGGTGAATATTTTTATATAGGCATTTAGGATGAGGAAGCTTCTTCAAAGTTAGTGCTTCAGAGTGATGGTCATTATTTTGCTTCAGGTATAATGAATACTTTGGATATGCGGGTAGGGAGAAGACCCATCTTCCAATATACATAAACACAATATATACATTTTTAAGTCATTAAGAGTTTTAGATTAAACATGATGATCTACAATTATTGTATTAAATTTGTGTAATTGTGAGCTAATTGCCAAATCATTTTTTCAAAATAACTTCAGAATTTTTATCGGTAAATTGTGAATATTTTATAAAATTGAGGCAGATTGCTCTTTCAGATGCTTATTATGTATCAAGTTATTGACAGTGAATGAGATGCTGATGTATGACTTTAAACATCTAAAGAGCATGAAATGTACCAACTTAAGTAATTACAGTTTAAAAAGTTGTTTAATTTCTTGGGCCGGGTGCGGTGGCTCACGCCTGTAATCCAAGCACTTTGGAGGCCAAGGCGGGCGGATCACCTGAGGTTGGGAGTTCAAGACCAGCCTGACCAACGTGGTGAAACCCTGTCTTCTAAAAAAAAAAAAAAAAAAAAAAAATTTAAAAAAGAAAAAAAAAAGTTATTTAATTTCTTAAGCTTTATGCCATTCCATTTATTATATCCATTAGTAATTTTGTAAGCTGCTGAGTTAAGACCCAATAACTTATTTTTTATTTATTTTTATTAAAAAAAAAAAAAAAAAGACGGGGTTTCACCATGTTGGTCAGGCTGGTCTTGAACTCCTGACCTCAGGCAATCCGCCCGCCTTGGCCTCCAAAGTGCTTGGATTACAGGCGTGAGCCACCGCACCCGGCAACTTTTTTTTTAAAGGCTGGTCAGCGAAGCAGTGGTAATAGAGAAAGAACAGAGAGATCTGTAGCTGATTATGATCGAAGAGTTGTAAACACCACTGCACTTGGACCAGCCGAGGCCCAAGAACTTTTGATTTACCATGTTTATTTTAGGTTACACCAAATAGGAATATAAGCTAAAAATCTTCCCATAGCTGACTACTTGGCCACATCTGCTTAGGAGGCTGAGATGGGAAGATTGCTCAACTCAGGTTTTCAAGTCTATCCTGGGCAACATAGCAAAATTTCTGTCTCCAAAAACTCTTATTTCCAGTGACCTGAATTCCAAATAAATTGTCATTTTTAAGAATGTGTCAGATATTCTGCTTTTTGACAGAAACAGATTTTTCATAAACTAGACTTGTGAGCTCCGTACTCTGCTAGTATTATTAGGGAATATGGCTGGCTTTGATTTGTAGAGATTTGGAATGTTCAGGAAATATCAGTCTATCTTATCTTGGCTTTAGTGATCTTGGAATGAAGCTCATAAAAGTTAGCTATCAAGTTGAAAATGTGTTTATTATATGTAAAATGTCATTATAATTAATGGGTCCTTTTATTAATAACCTTTTACATGTTGTCACATTCTGTAAGGATTGTGTTTTAAGTGTTCTCACATAGACATTGACTTTTAATATAGGTAGAAGACTTTTTGAATCTTTCCACACAGCTGTCTGGATTTCATATTTGTATTGACAAAGGGACTTTTGATGCCATCAGCCTTAATCCTGACAATGCAATTGAAAAGAGGAAGCAATATGTGAAATCTCTCTCCAGGGTGTTGAAAGTAAAAGGCTTTTTTTTAATAACGTCGTGTAATTGGACCAAGGAAGAGTTGCTAAATGAATTCAGTGAAGGTAAATGACTGTGTGGTGTTTAAATGTGTGCTCACCTCAGGTTTCATGTACTTAGGTTTTCTCCCCTCTTTGTGTTCCAGTGTTTTACTTTTCTGTTTGTGGGAGTTGCCTGCTTTTTTTCTCTGTTAATGACTTTGACAATAACATTTGACTGTATATACAAAGCACAGAGAAATAACATTGGTTGACGTCCAGAGATCTTTTAAAAAAATTTCCAAGAAATCCTGGCAGTTAAGTACTAAAATTTATGAGTCTGTAAAAATGAAGGTTTCAGCCTGGGCAACGTGGTGAAACCCCATGTCTGCTAAGAATACAAAAAGTTAGCTGGAGTTGCTGGTGTGTGCCTGTAGTCCCAGCTACTTGGGAGGCCGAGGTGAGAGGATTGCATAAGCCCAAGAGGCGGAGGTTGCAGTGAGCCGAGATCGCGCCACTGCATTCCAGCCTGGGTGACAGAGTGAGACCCATCTAAACAAACAAACAAACAAAAAATAAATAAAAAAATAAGTTCTCTATTTGAGCTATACAATCTTTTTTTTTTTTTTTGAGATGATGTTTTACACTCGTTGCCCAGGCTGGAGTGCAACGTCTCAATCTCGGCTCACTGCAACCTCTGCCTCCTAGGTTCAAGTATTCTCTTGTCTCAGTCTCCCGAGTATCTGGAATTACAGGCACATGCCACCATGCCAACTAACTTTTGTAGTTTTAGTAGAGATGGGGTTTCATCATATTGGTCAGGCTGATCTCGAACTACTGACCTCAGGTGATCGTCTGCCTCGGACTCCCAAAGTGCTGGGATTATAGGCATGAACCACCTCACTCAGCCACAATCTTTCATTTCAGGTATATAATCTATTATTTATAGACTCAAACAAAAGCACATATATTGTGCTTCTGACTTCAGTGCACTGATTTACTGGCAAATCCATAATAATGCAAATGGAAGAAGTACTTTTGTCTTAGAAGATGAGAGTTTTAATTTTGTAGATACTTTAGCTGTCTTGCCCTAGCTCATTTAAATATTCAGAGATTATAGAACAATTCTTGTTTTCAGAGGATATAAAACAATTATTTTTAAGATTACACAGAATTAAAATGTATGGAATTGATAGAAAATTCTGGTGCTGAGGCAGGATCCTTTTTTGCTTAGATAGCAAAGTGTAATTAGTACAGTGTCTACTTGGGGGGATCTTATGAGAAATGAGAATCTGTAATCTACACACAGACTATTTTGAGTTCTCTGGCAGACTGTTCCTTGCATTTTTTTTTTTTTTTTGAGACAGAGTTTCGCTCTTGTTACCCAGACTGGAGTGCAGTGGGACAATCTCGGCTCACCACAACCTCAGTCTTTTGGGTTCAAGCAATTCTCCTGCCTCAGCCTCCTGAGTTGCTGGGACTACAGGCATGCACCACCATGCCCAGATAATTTTTGTATTTTTAGTAGAGACAGGGTTTCACCTCTTTGACCAGGATGGTCTCGATCTCTTGACCTCATGATCCACCTGCCTCGGCCTCCCAAAGTGCTGGGATTATAGGTGTGAGCCACCGCGCCCAGCCACATTTTTTAAGAAATATTTTATCTGCCAGTTTGTGCATGTAGTGCACAGCTGTTTCTGGGAATGTATCTTGAGAATATACAGATATTTGCTTGTTTTCTCCTTAGAATCCTTTTAGATTAGTTTTTTTCCCCTCCCTTTTTCTTTTTATTCCAGATCCTGCACTTTTTTTTTTTGATAGAATAGGAGAAATTTTCAGGGTGGAGTCTTGGGTAAATAATATGATACTCAATATTTGGTTAAATTTTGAATCTCAGTTGTCACAAGCTAATGGGAGGTGAATTACCTCAAGAGAGTAGTTTACTGGGCACCGTTATTTATAACTGCACTGCATATACCTTATTTTAGAGTTTGTTTTCTTTTTAGTATTAGGGGAACAGGCTGGGAGAACACTTAACACATGTCCTTTTGTGTGTGTTCAATGGCTTTGACAGATTACTTAATGTAAAACCTGAAGTGTTTGAGGCTTGAAATGTGAGCTTATGGCTTCATTACTATTGCCTCTGGAAAACAAGAATTATATGTGATTTATTGTCTTTTATTTTATGCCATTTATTTTATTATCCTCCATGTTAAATTTGTTTCCTTTAGAACTGTTGAGGCCCTGTATCAATAGGCTTTTCCTCTTCCTGAACCTTGACAGTTTTAATAAATGCTCAGAGTTACGCTGTGTAGGGCAAATTTCTTTTCTGGTTTTTAAATACAGGTGTTCTTTTTTACTCCTAGAACCAGCAGACAAAAACATATTTGTCTGTTTTTGATAATGAGGAACAGACTTTAGCCTGGTTAGAGTACTTGAAAATGTGTCTGTGTCTGCAAACTATTGAGTAAACTCTTTATGTTCAATTTTAGAGCTAAATACAGTATTTAAGCAAAATGTTATAACGGGAAACGTTATATAAATAGTTATATACAATTGAAAACATTTTTTAGGCATGAGTCCCTTAGAAAATGGTATTTGGAGTTAGATACAGGAAAGTAACAGAATACACTGCTGCATGCGTCACTGCCAAAGGTCTTGTTTCTGACTACTCAAATTGGCTGCCACATTCTCTTTGCATAGAATAAAGCTTGTTTCACCAATCTTTTAAGGTTCTGTTCTTATTTGAAATACAAATGGTCATAAAACTATTGAAACAGATCTTTCATTTTTTTTTCCATGATGCCCCTGATTATACAGATACTTTGTGTTATCATTTGTTTAGGTGAAGGTCACCTGGAACCACTTGCGCATATTCTAATTTGATGTCCAAGGGACTTGACTTAATGGCAGCGAAAGAACGAAAACAGTAACCACCCATCTTACTTTACAAGTAATTTAAAGGAGACTTTCTGAGCCTATTCTGGTTTGGGGAGCTGTCCTTTAAAAGAAAAAGTAATTCAAATTGAGTTAAATAATTGAAAAGTATCAATAACATCAACCTATATATATACAGATTAAAATAATTAAAACAATTTGTTTGCTGTCAGTGGAGTACAACAACTGTTAATATTTTTGGTGTATTCTATCTTGAAATATAATAATTCCAATTCTGTAGGGTTAGTTCTAGGAGTTAAAAAGTTAGTCCTGGAAAATTTATACAGACAGAAAATTTGTATTATTAAACATCCAAAGCATTTGTAAAATTTTTGAAAACAAATATGAATGTATAACTATGTATGTACCCAACACAATGCCTGCATTTTCCAGCATTAAGATACATCATATTAATTTATTAAAAGGAATGTCCTAATTTGGAAGTTTTCTCACAGTAAGCTTTTAATAAACATTTTAATATTTAGTTATTAATATTTGGTGAAGTTAGATGAAGAACATGAATTAGGTTGCATAATGAAACAGTGTGATAGACCAATTGATGCAATAATATAATTTCTTTCTTTCTTTTTTTTTGAGACAGAGTCTCTCTATTTCTCTCTGTTGCCCAGGTTGGAGTGCAATGGCAGGATTTCAGCTCCTGGGCTCAAGCAATCTTTCCACTTCAGCCTCCTGAGTAGCTGGAACTGCAGGTGCACATCATCATGCCTGGATAATTTTTATATTTTTAATAGAGACAGGATTTTGCCATGTTGTCCAGGGTGGTCTCGAACTCCTGGGCTCAAGTGATTCTCCCACCTGGGCCTCCCAAAGTGCTAGGGTTAGAGGCCTGAGCCACTGCACCTGGCCAGTATACATTATTTTAAACATTTTTTTCTGTTTACAAGAGTATTTGAGCTCAAAGCATGGAAATTTAGAAAATACAGAACCCCACCCTTGCCTCAAGAAAAAAAAATTCCAAAACCAATAGATCCATCAATGAGGGAAAACCTAGTTTGGCATTTTATTTTACTTTAATTTTTAAATTTATTTTGAGACAGAGCCTGGTTCTGTTGCCCAGGCTGGAGTGCGGTAGCATAATCTTGGCTTACCACAGCCTCCATCACCCAGCAGTCTCCCACCTCAGCCTCTCAAGTAGCTGGGACAATAGGCGCACAGGTGCAGGTCACCACAACAGCTTTTTTTTTGTATTTTTTTGTAGAGTGAGGTTTCACCATGTTGTCCGGGCTGGTCTCAAATTCCTGGCCTCAAGAGAGCTGCCTACCTTGGCCTCCCAAAGTGCTGGGATTATATCATGCCTGGCCCTGGTTGGTATCTTAGTGATGTTACAGCTTTATTTGTTTTATTTTATTTTATTATTTTAATCAATTAATTTTTTTGAGATGAAGTCTTGCTCTGTCACCCAGGCTGGAGTGCAATGGTGTGATCTCTGCTCACTGCAACCTCTGCCTCCCAGGTTCAAGCGATTCTCCTGCCTCAGCCTCCCAAATAGCTGGGACTATAGGTGTGAGTCACCATGCCCAGCTAATTTTTTGTATTTATGGTAGAGGCGAGGTTTTGCCATGTTGGCCAAGCTGGTCTCGAACTCCTGACCTCAGGTGATTTGCCTGCCTTGGCCTCCCAAAGTGTTGGGATTACAGGCATGAGCCACTGCACCTGGCCTTTTTAAAAGCAAAATAATAAAACATTTTATTTCATAGTTTAGAAAAATACAACACTAAATTCCCCCCCTTTTTTTTTGAGATGAAGTTTCACTCTTATTGTTCAGGCTGAAGTACAAACTCTGCCTCCCGGGTTCAAGCGATTCTCCTGTCTCAGCCTCCTGAGTAGCTGGGATTATAGGCATGTGCCACCACGCCTGGCTAATTTTGTATTTTTAGTAGAGACGGAGTTTTTCCACATTGGTCAGGTTGGTCTCAACCTCCTGACCTCAGATGATCCTCTTGCTGTGGCCTCCCAAAGTGCTGGGATTACAGACATGAGCCACTGCGCCTGGCTGGAAAACACTACATTATCTTATTTGGATCTTTACAGAATCACAGTGAATTTGATGGGAGTGGGGGTGGGCATTGGTATTAGTAAGTAGCCTCTTTGCATAGAACTCAGGGTCATGGTAGAGGTAACTTGATAGCCTATCTCATTTAGTAAGTGGTAAAGCTGAGACTTGAAACTAGGATTTTAGATTCCAAGTTAATTTTTTTTTTTAAACTATACTGTGATGCTTTGAAAGTTATTATTCCTTGTCTTCCAGGCCCTTTATTAGTTAGTTTAGAGTCTTCATTTTTGTTATAAATTATTGTTTTTAATTCTGCTGAAATACATATACCATTTTATAACCATGTTTAAGTTGACACTTCTGTGGTATTAAGTACACTTAAATTTTTGTTCAATTGTCATCACCATCCAGAACTTTTTCATCTTCTACAAATTCATTTATATTTCCATGTTATTTTGCCTTTCTGTATTAAATGCTTTTATATGTGTAGTGTGAATTAACTAGATTAATACATAGTAATTCTAATTCAACACAGGGCCAGGCGATGTGGCTCACTCCTGTAACCCCAGTACTTTTCGAGGCTGAGGTGAGTCTATCACCTGAGGTCAGGAGTTCCAGACCAGCCTGACCAACATGACGAAACCCCGTCTCTACTAAAAATACAAAAAATTAGCCAGGTGTGATGGCGTGTACGTGTAATTCCAGCTACTCGGGAGGCTGAGGCACGAGAATCGATTGAACTCAGGAGGCAGAGGTTGCAGTGAGCTGAGCTAGTGCCACTGCACTCCAGCCTGGGTGATGGAATAAGACTCCGTCTCAAAAACAAACACGCAAACAAAACTCGACACATGCCAGCTGCTTCCTACAGCTGAGGTGATAGAGGGTAACAGAGATCAGCTTTGCAGGGATGATAAACAGAAGGTGGAGGAAATGGCATGTGAATGGAAAGCCTGTTTTTTGCAATTTGTTTTTGGTCTTGTCTTTTTGCTAAATTCAAAGTGATTTTGGGTGTGCATACATATGCTGTATGTACATAGTAGAATTGAAAAATCGTGAAATGAAATTCAGCACAATATAGAGTTTGGAATCATCATTTTATAATGGGTTTGAAAGTATAGTGTATAAATAAATGTAATTATGAGATTCAATCTTTAATAAAGGTATTTTAATTTTGTCTGACAGGATTTGAACTTTTCGAAGAGCTGCCAACACCCAAGTTCAGCTTTGGAGGCAGATCTGGAAACAGTGTAGCAGCATTGGTTTTCCAAAAAATGTGAGACTTCCTTGGACAAATTCAGGTAGCCACACAGAATCTACAAAGCAAAGTTACCCTGACACAGAAAATCCATGTTCAAATAAATGCTTAGTAAGTACACAGGATGCACATGTTGAATAGAGTATAATGGATTGGTAAAAGAAAATAATAATCATGAGCCCCTAAGTAGTTGGGTTTTAGAGATCAATCAAGAATAATTTTAAATTTTCTTTTGTATTTGAAATGTAAATAGTTTTCTTTTTGATTAAAAAAATTTCCTGTAACTGCTAAACAGTTAAAAACTGTAAAGTAGTAAATGAGTTTATAGAAAGCATGTGTTCTTGATTTTTGTGCCTTCATAAAGTTGGATTGAATATAACTATTTATGAATATTTGACCAAATTATTCCAGCACCAGAATAATAAGCAAACAAGTTTCTTAGTATTTTGTTAGACTATTTATGAAATATAACAAGAAATAGTATTTTGTGTTGGATGGTGGTTATTTTTAAAATTAATTAATACCTGAGAAAAGGCCTCTTACCTTTATGTATATAGTTAAACAAAATCGGAGAAATGTATCAGTTGCTCAAAAGTTATCAAGCCTGCATTTTGTAGCTGTGGTCTTCTACACACTATAAGAGATGAAAAGGTAGTAGAAGGAAAGAGAACTAAGGGATATTATTATTTGCTAGCATTATGTTAAGTTGTCTTATTAAGTAATTGAATCTTTTCAGTATCTTCTTGAGGTATGTATTGCTCCTTCTTGTTTCTACCTGTAAGAAAAAGGAAACTGAGAGAAGTGATGTCACTTTGGTGAGGTCAAACAGTACAGGGTGGAGCCAGCATTTTTATCTGGGTCTGTCTGACTTTAAAACACATTCTCTTCTCCTAGCATATTCTGCCTCACAGGTGCTAAGTCTCTGCTTTATAGCATTTATAGTTCAGCTGGAGACCTATGATTATTACATATAAAGTTGAATTAGAAAAGATGGGTAGTTATTTTGTTAGTGTCCTTCTGTGGAGTTTCAGAATAGCAGTCAGTTAACTCTTTCTCTTATCATCCTTCATTACTTTTCCCCATCTCCCTACTCAAAGACTTGCCTCTGTTAAGAATTTTGTCATTCTTCTGTGAAAGGGCAGTGTAAGTTATATCAGCCTGCAGCAATACATCCACAAAGGTGTTCTAGTTGGTGGCTAATTTAGCAAGAGAAATAGTTTATTAACGTTTTTGAAAAGATAAGGCATATTCATACTTAATACCATTTTGTATTTGTGGTATTATTTTAATATTGGAGCCATAATACAAATTTTTACATAATTTTTTGAAGATTTTAACTTTGTGGGCCTATTGGATAACATAACTAACAGAATTTTTGTTTATTTGGCAAATGTTACTCCTGTATTGAATAAGTCTAACATTATGTCCTTTTTCTTTTTGGGGAGGGGTAGGCAGGGGAGTGAGTTTTATATTTAGATCAACATTGTTCAGCCATTAAGACAAGATAGTTGAAGACATGTGTGTGGACTTTAAAGAAAAATAACATTTTTTGAAAAGCTTTTATTTTCAACACGTAAAAAGTGAGAAGTTACTTCAAAATACATGCAATTTAAATTTTTTACAAAATTGTGTTGATTTTATAAGATAGCACATTTTTTTTTTTTTTTAAGATGGGGTTTCACCATGTTGGTCAGGCTGGTCTTGAACTCCCAGCCTCAGGTGATCCGCCCGCGTTGGCCTCCAAAGTGCTTGGATTACAGGCGTGAGCCACCATGCCCGGCCGATAGCATATCTTAAACTGTAGACAATTTCATAGTTTTTGAGATCTGGTCTTTGTTGTTTTTTTCACATAATATTCCTTTATTTCAAATATAGTTAAGTAAAGTACTCTTTTAGGATTTTGAGTTAAGTATATGCTATTTTAATGCACTAATCCTACAGACTAGGCTTTCTGTGTGACTAGACTGAGATGTTGAGTTTTATTCACAGAAAGCCTGGAATGGTTGTTTGTTGAAAAGCTTTTCAAGTCACTATTTGGGGCATGTTTGTGCCATTTGCCAAGGTGAAGTTGTTTTTTTTTTTAATCATAGAGCTTTTGATAAGGTTAGGAAAAGGAAGTTGTCATCTCTTCTTATTACTCTAATCCCCCTGGAAGCTAGCCTCTTTAGGACTCAAACCAGAACAAATAGAAGGTTGAAAAATGCCAGTAAGAAATTAATATTTTCACGTAATACCAAACTGTTAAAAACCAGGTCAGCAAATGTCCCCAGGTTCCTGAAACAAACCGTAAATACATTATTTAACTTAGCATTGTTAAGTTGTATAAATATGTGGGTAATTGTGACAGAAATTATGCACTTATAGAAAGGAGCAGTAAGTTATGTAGTGAATTCTGTTTTCTGTGTATAAGAAGTTGGAATTGTAATTTCATTTAATCAAAAGACACTTATTTTGAGGAAACTTGTTTGAAATGCAGGCGAGATTTCTCTGTGGAGCCCGCACAGGGTCGTTGCTTTTCGTTATGATGTTATTGCTGCATACCAGGCCGCATCTGTATGTGGGAAGTGCGTGTGCAAGTCCAAAGGGAGTTGAGCCTGAATGGGTGGGTTACACCAATTAGCGAATAGAAAGTTTTCAGTACATTTTGTTTTAAGCCAGGTGCACAAGTTAGAGTTACTTTTTGGGACTGGTATTTATGTATGTGAGAATCAAACCTGATATCACTCTTGGCAGCCTGACTAAAGCCATTTAAAAATAAGTACAAACTGTCCTTGAATGATTTTTTTTCCCATTGTAGTAGCACTGAGTTTTCCTTTTTTCTTCATCTGTGGTATGCTTACAATCTTCTGGTTTTTTTTTTTTTTTTTGGAAGCAATAAGGGAGCTAAGTATATTCAAAAGGCTTTCCATCTTTTTATGAGTCATGTGCTTCAGTGGACTGACTTATTTAAAAAATTTCTATGATACTGTAATGCAGTACTGTATGTTGACCTCAGTTCACTTTTATCTGGAGTATAACAGAAACCTCAATTTTTAAGGAGCCTGCATTAGTAGTTAAGTTTCATATGGCCTTGAAATAATTTTCTTCAAATTGGTATACAGAGAAATAGCATATTCCTGCCTATGTTAATGACTTTCATTTATGTTCTTTTAAGTCATTTTATTTTATGAATTGTGTGTGTGTGTATATCTGTGTGTCTTTCTCTCTCTTGTCTGGTGGCCTACAATGAAAATCTGTACGAATGTGAACAGTTTGTCTCCAGGGGAGAGCCCTGGGGTTTGATTTCCTGTTTTTGGCTCTAAGCTAAAATGTATGTGCTCCTGAACAGCCCTCTGCTGTGGGAGTATGAGACCAAGTGTCTTGTGTTCCACAGTACTAACCTCTTTAGCTAATTGTGTGTCTGTGTGTGGGAGGGGGCTGTTGATGGGCTCTGAAAGAAGTCTTGTCTAGTACACTTCACTGAATGAAGGCTGCCCTTGACCTAGAGCTTGATTGTGGGAGGTGAGGAGCATATATGGCTGAAAGACAATTGCATAGTGGGAAAAAAAATCAGGAAATCCTTACATTTCTCTTGGTTAGGCAGGAAACAGAGATGTCCATAGAAGAAGGGGGAGCTCATCAGCATGTTTTATTAACAGTTAATGGAAGAAAATTAATGCTAATTTATTCTTCATATACACCATGCAATTTGTTAGAAAAGTAAAAGAATAGTTTGAAATTCTTTGGTCAATTGATGGATTCCTATGTTCGGGGCATAGAAATGAAACTCAACATCAAGCAGACAAATACCCAAGCCCACAGGCTACATAAATGCTGAATAAAACCAGCTCTACAATGGAACCCTGAAAAGCGTCGGGTAAGAAGCCTAATGAATGATTGAATATGACCTTAGCAAAATCCCTGGAGTGTTGTTGAAAGATCATTCATTTCCAGCTTAGATGTCAAGATGGGCTCCAGTAACCAGGAAAAAAAGAGAGCTTGAGTCAGTACTTACTGAGTTTTAAAAATCTTTTACAACACGGTGCATTAGACTGATTATTAAAAGGACTTCTCTCGCTGAATTTTGAGCTGTCACTATAGTTTAGGCCCAGGGAAATAAACTTAAAAAGATAGGAATAATTCCTAAGACATGAATGTATCAATATCCTATCCTGCTTTTATGGAGTAGAACTTCAAAAACTGAGATGTGTAGGCTGGCAGAATGTACTTTTGTCATGCTGATACCATTGTAAAAAAGACTTACAACTAGGAGATCAACTGAGCCTTCAAGTATTTGCAAATTACTTGCCTAGCTTGTTAGAAGAAGAAATAAAAAGCCAAAATCTACATTTTTGTTTTCAAAAGAAATGATTTCTTTGCTTTCTGAAGAGATGAGAAATGATAAATTCTTCCATGTTCTCATCTATTATTACCGTACCATATCAGCAAATGATAAGTATTTTAATGAGTGATCTTTATTGTTCATGCTATCTGGAAGCGTCTTAAGAAAAGTGAATCTAATACATCTGTTTTCCCAAATATGTAAAAATTTATACATAATCTGGCAGTTAGTATTGAGTAGGTTAGGAAAAAATATGAAAATACTCTGATTGAATCAGGGGACTATGAACTGTATTTCTCACTTTTCATTAATATATTACAGATCGGTCAGTTTATCATCAACGTTGATAGCAGAATTGAAATGGTGTGGGATGGCTGTAGTTCCCCAGCTTTTGCCTGCCTGACTGCTGCATAGAGGAGGGAATCGTTGGGAGGAAGAGGCTAAATGTGGAAGAGTGTGGGTGCTGTCAGTTCACATTTTCCTCCTAACCCTCTTGCTAATAGGAAAATGTCAGGCCTTTGTTCCCATCTAATTTTAGTACATCCTGGCTAAAAAAATGTTAGGATGAAAAAATGTTAGGATGATTTCCAACCGTAGAACTTTGAGGGGTGGAGTAGGGGAAGGAAGAGTGGAGGAAAGAGCAGTTTATACTCCATATCCGTCTGCCTTGCTGCAACAGCAGCTAGCCCCTGCTCTGTTGATTTTGGTAATGACATAAATTT